AGGCAAATTCATGAAGCTGAATTCGCTTCCTTGCCTTGGAATTTCTAGTTCACCTTCTTCACTACCCACGTCTATATATGCTTTTGCATATCTGAAGTTATGCAAGGTCATAGTTCTTATTAACTCTAGCTTTGGCAGCTAGGTGGTGCAGTAGAGAGTATTGGACTTGCAATCAGGAAGTCTTAAGTTCAAATCCTGCCTCAAACACTTACTAGCTGTGTGTCCCTGGGCAAGCCATTTAAACTCTTTCAGCCTGTTTCCCCACCTATAAAAATGGAGATAGTAATAGCACCTACTTGCTGCCAAGACCAAATGAGATAAAATGTAAAGTATTTCACAAAACTAAAAACAATATATAAATGCTAGCTATGACTACTCTCTTCTTGAATTTCACCTCCTGTGAATTACTGGTTCTCCCTTCAGATGTTTTCCCCTCCATGTCGTGCCTGTTTTTCTTTGTGGTTTCTGGCTTAGTGAATACATGAGAACACATTGCTACATCTGCTGAGCCTGCTCCCTCTGTGTCATGTGGATCTGGGAACATGTTCCAGACATATGTCCCTAGGCCCAGAAGCCTGGACCTTCTCAAGCTGTTATGGTGGTGGGGAATCAGAAATACCTCTTCTCCCTAAGACCTCTTAGGCTGCCCTTCCTCCTTCAGTTACTGAAAACTAACCCAGCTGTCTCCCAAACTGGGAGGGCTGACTCTGTGTCCTCAGCCCCACAGCCCAGTCACAGTCCCTCTAAATTGGGATATCCAGACACAGTTGAGAAATGGGTTTGGAGTCAGAAAGCCTGGGGTCTTAATGTCAGCTCTGCCACTCTACTCACCCAGCAAGCCCTTAAACCTATCAGGACCTACTCCCTATCATCTATAAAATTCTGTCGGGGGGGGGAGGTGACAGGAAGAGAGGTTAGACTAGACCTCTAAGGTCCATTCTGGTTTTAAACATATGATCCTAGAATCCCGATTCCAGGAATTGGCCTGGTCTGTAACTCTGTAGACTCTACTGGATTGATTCACCAAACCCTCCAGGCACTTCCCTCAGTGGTTCCCCAGTCTGTGCCCCCAGTCATCTTTCTTCAGCAAAATTATAATAGCCACACCTAGCATTGGGCCTCAGTGTCTCCCTCAAGCCATAGAAATTTTCCTCCTCCATTAGCATAAACACTGCCAACACACCAGGCCTGATTCCAGCCATTGCCTCAAAGCCTATTGTTGTCCATAACCCTGGAGAGAATCCACAGTCTTCAGATCTCCTTGAGTCCAAGTAGCTATGAGAGTATATAGAACCTGTTTTCATACAGGGCCAAAATCTCTACTACAGTCAAGCTGAATCTGAGGAGCCTTCTAACTCTTTTTAAAGGGCCTCTCAATGGTGCCTTTTTTCATCCCCTGACAGGCTAATTATCACTGAAGCTTCAGGGCCCAGCAATGACATTGCCACTGATGGCCAGCTCTGCTTCTACTAATCCTCCTGTGATTCTGAATGTGAATTATTATGAAGCCGTATTAAGGTTTCAGGATTTTTTAATGTACTTCCACAGCTTTAATTATCACCCCTGTGCAGTGGATTCTCAAGTCTGTTTCTCTACCCCCTTCTCTCTCCCTGAGCTCCAGAAGCAAATATCTAACAGTCAGTTGACATTATTGACCCGATAGCCACATTGAACAAGCCCCAAACTGAATTCATCATCTTTCCACCAAAATCTGCTGCTCCTTCCAACTTCCTTATTTCTATTGATAGCAATACTGCCTTTGCAGTCGTCTGCTATACTCGAGAGAGTATTGGAGTCAGGAAGACCTGGGTTCAAATTGTGTCTCAGCTACTTACTAGCTGTGTAACCCTGAGAAAGTCATAATGTCTCTTGGCTTCAGTTTCCTCATCTGTAAAATGAGGAAGGGGAACTCAATGGCCTCAAACATGCTTTCTAGCTCTAAACGTATTACCTCCTGCTTTAATCAGTTGGCAAATGCCAATGATTCTGCCTCTGCATTATCTTTCATGCACCCCTCCTCTCCACTCATAAATATCATTACTTTAGACCAGGCCATCATTATAATGTAATAACCAGTGCCTAGCACAGTACTTGGCATACAGCAAATGCTTCTTGGATGGGATAAAGTAAGACAGCTCCATCCTTCATACGACTGCCAAAGAAATCTTCTACTTGGACGGCTCTGACCGTGTCACACTTCTCCCCAAAGAGCTTCGATGGCTTTCCGTTGTCACAAAGTTCTGATCCTGACTTTCAAGGCCCTCCATGTTCTGCTTCCAACTCTGCTTTCCAGCTCTGTCTCACACTCCTTCCCTTTATGCACTTCACCTTCCAACCCCATGAAATTACTCTCTCTTTTCCCTGTTCTCAACCTTCCCTCTCCCATTTCCATGACTTTGTTCATATTTCCCCCATGCCTAGATAGAGTCTCCCCTATATCTGACTATAGAAATCCATCTCTTCCTCCAAAGTCCAACTCAGATCTGTCTCCCTTTATAATAAGAGGCAATGTGGCACATTAAGGTTTGCAAAATGCTTTACAATTGTGATCTCATTTGTGGGTAAAACTGTGAATCATGGCACTGAGTTAGGCATTTCATGACAACCCTTCAGAAGGCCTCATGTGATCTCATGTGATCCAATGTGATCAACCCTGGGAAGCAGAGGCTATTATAGTTCTTATTTTACATCTGAGGAAACTGAGGCTGAGGAAGATTAAGTGATTTGACCAGGGTCACAAGGCTAATGAGTATCTGAGGCTGGATTCAAACTCAGATCCTCTAAAGTCCAACTCCAGTATTCTCTTCATGATGTTATGTAGCTGTCCCTACCCAAAGACCTCCCCAAGTAAAGATGAACTCTTCCAACACTTTGGACCTCCACTTTCCTCTTTTATCAGTCTCATTCTATAATAGATTTTGCATCCTTGTGAGTACACAGCCCTTTGGAATCTGATGCAGGCACTTTGAGATCTGCTGACCTAGATCAGAGTGTTCTGACATTCACTTCTCCTGATCCCGTGTCATTGCTCCTGATTAGTAAACTCCATTGGCTCTGAGCCCAAGGGAGAACACCTCTTTCAGGCATTTAAAGTCATTTATAGGAGAGATGAAAAAACACCCCAACCTATTCTTTGATAGACGTGGGAGGTCCCCAAGTATTGGATATCGAACATGCTTTCAGGCTTTTGCAGACTTTCTTCCGTGTAAAATAAAATACCATTAGTCCTATGGGATGGTTCTTTGGAAAGGGGAGGCAGAAGGATACTTTGAATAACTATAGCAATGTAAGAAACAAAAAGCATCAATAAAAACTTATAAAAATAAAATAAAAAATAAAGCCCTTCACAGCTTACCCCATTAGCATTAAATATATTATTTCTCTTCCCGTAATCAATGGTCCAGTCAAACTGGCCATCTTATCATTCCTTTCATACTCATTCTATATTCTGGTTTTGTGTTTTTGCACTGCTTGGTCCCCATGCCTCGACTGTCCTCCTTCCTCATCACCACCTCTTAGAATTTCTAGTTTCTTTCAGAAGCCTACTCTGATATTAGCACAGGGTGAGCCATTGCAGAAGGAAATAAGACCAATGCATCAATTCAGGGGAATGCTCAGAGAGGGCAAGATGAATGGCCTTCATCGGCTGGACAATCGGATGCTGTTTGTCACTGTTTTCCAGATCGATGGCTTCTCAAATGAAAATGTCCAATGTCTACAGTCATTCCTCTTGGACCCTCCTGAAGGCCAGAGGTCCAGGGCTATGGGTAACTGTGAATCATAGCACTGAGTCAGGCATTTCATGGCAGGTTTTAAGGCCTTCAAAAGCCAGTTAGGGGAAAGGCTTTGCATTTTTTTCCTGACTTTGCCTGTAACCATGCTATTTCCCCCAGTAGAATGTAAGCAACTTTAAGGCGTGACTGTTCTGGTTTTGTCTTTATATCCTCAATAATTATCACAGTGACTTCACATAGTAGAAGTTTAATCAATTAGTTACTTCAATAAATAAATGAATGAATGGCAGGTGTGGCAATGTTTCTGAGGTTACCAGCTTGAGGTGCAATGGAATCACGTGTCTTAAGCATAAATGTCCTGGTGAAAACTATCCTGAGTGTCTACAGACCCAATTGTAGTCCATGTATCAGCAGGACAGGTGAAAATGACATTGCAACCTTTGTTTACAAATAGTGAAACTGAGCACATAAGTATTTGAAATTAATTCTAGACATCCTAGGGCTCTATTCTATAGGACAAGCCAAACCTAGAGTTTTCCCATTTTGCCAGCTCCTATATCTTTTTCAAGCCACTAATTTTATTTTTTTTATTAACTTATTTTTATTTATCACAACCATTTCTATAAGCTTTTGAGTTTTAAATTTTTCTCCCACTACCTTCCCACCTCCCTCCCCAAGACTGTGCACAATCTGATATAAGTTATACATATACATTCCTATTAAACATATTTTCACATTAGTCATGCTGTAAGGAAGAATTAGAACCAATAGGAGGAACCACAAAAAAGAGAAAACAAAACAAAACAGAAGAAAAAATAGCAAATAGTATGCTTTGATCTGCATCCAAACTCCATAGTTCTTCCTTTGGAGGTGGATAGCATTTTCCATCATGAGACCTTTGGAGATGTGTCAGATCCTTTCATTGCTGAAAGGGGCTAAATCTATCAATGTTAATCAATGCACAATGTGGATGTTACTATGTACGACGTTCTCCTGGTTCTGCTCACTTCATTCGGCATCAGTCTATACAAGTCTTTCCAGGTTTTTCTGAAGTTCACCTGCTCATCATTTCTTATAGCACAATAGTATTCCATTACATTCATATACCACAACTTGTTCAGCCATTCCCCAATTGATGGGCATCCTCTCAATTTCCAATTCTTTGCCACCATAGAAAGAGCTGCTATAAATATTTGTGTACATGTGGCTCTTTTTCCCATTTGTATGATCTCTTTGGGATACAGCCCTAGATGTGTTATTGCTGGGTCAAAGGGTATGCACATTTTTATAGCCCTTTGGGCATAGTTCCAAATTGCTCTCCAAAATAGTTGAACCAAGCCACTAATTTTAGAGGATACTAAAAGATACCGAGGCCCACGGGAGCTAAGTGATTTGCTCAGGGTCACACAGATGGGTAATAAGTGGCAGAATCATGATTAGATCCCAGGTCCTCTGAGTAGATTGGGGGTTCTTTCCATGGTACCAATTCCTACATTCTCTGTTCATTTAAATTAATTTGATCTTATTCCAATTTTCTTTCACTGTATTCTTCTCTCTTCCATCCTTCTTTATTACCCATCTGCCTCCTTCCTCCCCTTCTCAAGTATTAAGTTCTTCTTCTCAGTAAGGCCCCGTCCAGAGTTCTGAAGAAGATACAAAGATGAATGAGCTGTGATCTACTGGTAAAGGAGATAAGACATAAACATAAATAAATATCATTCAAATTAAAAGCATATAAGATGCATAGAAAACAAATTACTATGAAATCAGATGATGGAGAGGCCACTTCTGAATGGGAGGATAAGGGACAGCTTCCTGGAGGAGGTGACGTTTGAGCTGGATTTCAACAGGTGGAGATGGTGAGGAAGGATATCTAGAAATAGAAAAAAGGACAAGCAAAGTATGAAGGTAGATGAGCTCTTGCATGCCCAAGGGACAACTGGTGAAACACCATTTTGCAGAAGGATAAAACAGAAGTGTCAAACTCTCTGCCACATTGCACTTACAATGCTGAGCTAGATTAAAATATAGTTAGGAAATATTTACCAAATGATAAAAATGCAATAGAACATAGATAATGTTAATACATATTTTCCTAAGTCAACATGGGCCCCACAGGGATCCTTATGTGTGGTCCAGTGACCCTCTACTTTGGAGTTTGACACCACTAGTATAAAATGGTGGTAGGGGGAGGCACTGCTGTGAGACAACACCTTTAAAACATAGGCTGGAAGGGGCAGCTAGGTGGCTCAGTGGATAGAGCACCGGCCCTGAAGTCAGGAGGACCTGAGTTCAAATCCGGCCTCAGACCAAACACTTGACACTTACTAGCTGTGTGACCCTGGGCAAGTCACTTAACCCCAATTGCCTAAAAGCAAAAAAAAAAAAACCAAAACAAAATAAATAAAACATAGGCTGGACCCAGATCATAAAGGCTCTCTCTCAAATACCAGGATTTAGAGCTTGGACTTCATGTGGTACGCAATATCTTCTGATGCTAGGGCCAATGCTCTTTTCCCTGCATCACAACTGTCTCTCTCACTAATTCACTAATTGAAATGCCTATCACATGTTGGGCATTGAAAGATGAGTGTGCTATAAAAACAAAATTCCTGCCTTCATGGAGCTTAGTAAGGGAGCTATGACAAGCATGCGAATAACTACAAGGCAAAAGACTTGTTGTCTGGACCTGTGATTTCCGTGGCCCAGGAGACTCCCTCTATCAAAGCAGAGCAACACTGATTTTACAACTCATTGCCCCAGAGAGTTTCCAAGGTGCTTGAGAGTCTTGACATTAAGTGACTTGTCCAGGTCACACAACCAGTATATGTATCAAGGACAGAACATAAACCCAAATCTTACTTATTCAGACAACAGCTCTGATTTTTTTAAACTCTGAGCTGCCTTTCACAGCACAAAAAACGTATGAAGGTGGAGGAGGGGACAAAGTCCTCTAAGAGGTCAGGAGGAGAACATATTACTGGCTGAGAGCACCAGGAAGGTATGTCTAGAGCTAGGCTTTGAAATATGGATGAGATTTTCATTTACGAAGACGTCATTCAAGGTAAAGGGAATCATACGAGCAATAGCGCGGAGATATAGCTATGTCTGAGGAATGGACAGTACTCTACTCTAGATTGAATTTAAAACGGAATACATAGAGGGTAGTAACAGGAATTAAGACCAAATGAGTAGGTAATGCTCACAGCTGACACATGCCCTAAAAAGGTACACATCTTTGGTATTTGTGATTGAGTGTAGGGGTCTTATTTAAGCAATGAAAGATTATCCTTTACAACAGAACTATAAACAGAATGCTGAGTCATCCATTTGCTGATTGTTTTTCACTGATGCAGACATTGGAACTGGCTGGTCTGTACCTATAACAAGCACACAAGGATCCATCATAATACCGATTCATCAGAAAGACCAGAACCCAAGTTATAAGCTATGTGCCAACGGAGCAAAAAAGCAATGTGTCTTTCAAGAAACTCTGCTACTGGGGTAGCTAGGTGGCTAAGTGGATAGAGCTCCAGACTTGGAGTCAGGAGGACCTGAGATCAAGTCTGGCCTTAGATACATGACACTTACTAGCTGTGTGACCCTGGGCAAGTCGCTTAACCACAATTGCCTCACCAAAAAAAAAAAAATGAAAACAAACTCTGCTACCACCAACTATCATGGCCTTGGGAAAAACCAATTAATCTCTCTGGGAGGGAGACTCTGATAAGCAGTACTACTTCTATCTTCTCTGCTCTGATGATGATTTAGAGACAAGAGTTACCTGGATTCCAACACCAGCCATTGGGGTAGAGGATTAGAAGAAGCATGAATGCATTGGGACAATGCTTGTACCTAGAAACAGAACCCTGGGCATGCCAATTCAGGCTACAACTAGTATGGCACCTGCATTCTATTCCCAATGGTGACTGATTCCTCCATGTATAGCCCTAGATCCTGAATCTTCCTTGTGAGACCCCTGCATTTCCCTAGATGTATTTTCCTCAGTATAACACACTCTTGGCACCATAACTAGGGCAAACTTGATGGGGTTTTGGCTCAGTTGCTGAAATTTGGAGGGCTCTGATAGCACTTAACAGGTAGGGACAACCAAGCTTGGCATCTTAATTATTAGTTAAATAATTAGTAAAAAACAGAAATGCACTGCTGCTTCTGACCCAGGTGAGTTCTTCCCTGGCGTACCCCAATTCTGGCCCTTTCCTGGTAGGGTTTTCCCAGAAGCAACCTCAGGGGAGCCACAGCAGCAAGCTGCTTATCTCCCCCATCAGGAATCTCGTCATATTTCTTCTTCCCCTTAACTAGAAAGCTGCCAAGAAAGAATTTTGTTGGTCATTTCCTTCAAGTAAAAGGCTTTTTTCACCCCTAAGAAAACCAATAGGAAACAGCTGAAGAATATCTACACATGCTTTAAAATGGGGGAGAAGAGTCCTTTCATTATAGATACCTAGAGGCAGGCTTGCCTAGCCTCTAGGTGGCAGATAACAACAGGGATAGAATACTGCACTTACTCAAAGAACTGTGCCCTCATTGACTGGCCTCTACCCCCCCCCCCAATTACATCAGAGTCTCTGTCTCTCCTATCGTAATGTGATACCTTTGGGTCTCTCTCTTCATAAGACTTTGTTTTGAAATCTCTCCTCTAGGTTTCCATGACCAAAAAAGTGGGTTTTTAGAAGTTGATTTAAGAACACTTTGGGGGGTTATTTGTCCCAGGGCCAGAATTACTAGCTATTCATTTAATCAGCCCCTTTCTTGGTATGAGCTGTTCAGGCTACCTACAGCAACCATGCTGTGACCTATCTGTTACATTACTCTTACATTCCCAACTAAGCCTAGACTCCTCTAGTGTCCTCCAACTACATGCAGATCCACAGAACTCTGACCCAAGATCCCTGCCCTACCAAGAAACATGGAGGTGAAATAAGTCACAGACCCTCCCTCCAGCTCACATCACTGTTCCCTGCATCAACTCAACCGCTCCAGCCCCAACACTCATTTTCCATCCACAGGAAATTCCCTGCATACTCCCTGTCATGAGCACCTGGGGAACAGAGCTGCTGCTGCTGGGCTAAGACATGTACCAGCACGAAGGGAATGTTTAGATGCTGCCTAAATAGCAGGGGAATCTGGAGACACCACTCACAGCTGGAGGTAGCTACACCCCCGTTCCCCATCTGCAGCTGTATCTTTCTGGCACAGATGTTTGCATTTCAGCTTGGGCATCTACAGAGACCCACAGCTGTTAATCCTGTGATTCAGACCTGGGGATGTGCTAAGGGAGCAGTACTGACTTCACCCAATGGATAAGGAAGAGCAGGTTCACGACACCATGGGCACCAAAGTCCTTGTGCCACAGACTTGGAAGGAAGGGTTCTTCTTCCAGAACCCACTGAATTATTCTGTTCTACCTAGAATGAAACTAGCAGCGGGACAGATCACCAGCCCTGGCCATTGGCTCAACATGAAGGAAGGAGTTGCCACCTGATGGGAACTGTTTCCAGCCATGTGGCTTCTCCAGCTTCTCCTTTCCTGCGCCTCCTTTCCATCTATTCTTTTCAGCCTTCTCTGTCCATCTATGTTTTAACAGCCTCCTCCCAACAAGCTTGTCAGAAGACCAAGGCCTCTTCTCAGCACACACAGCCCTGGCCATCATAGGCCCTTGTGTTTGCCTTTGGGCTTGGCCATGATACATCGTGACATTAATTTCTCACTCTATACAATGAGGTTGTTGGTTTAGATCAGAGTTCTTAACAAAAGCTAGAATTTATATAGCGCTTTGAAAGTCTGCAAAGAACCTTACAAATATTAGCTCATTTGATACTCACAACAACCCCTCAAGGTAGGTGCTATTATTATCCCTATTTTACAGATAAGGAAACTGAGGCAGACAGCAACAAAGTGATTTTCCCAGGTTTATACAACTAGTAACTGTCTTAGGCCAGATTTGAACTCAGTTCTTACTGACTCCAGGGCCAGCCCTCTGTCCCCTGCACTACCTAGCTGTTTTATGGAATTGGTTTCCTTTATAATCCTATGCATTTTATTTTATGCATTTAAAAATATTATTCTGAGAAGGGGTCCATAAGCTTCACTAGATTGCCAAGAGAGGTACATGACACACAAAGGGTAAAAGACTCCTGCTTTGGGGATCCTTTGGTCTACATGCATTGTGGGTAGTTGGAGAGAGCTAAGAAATATACTTTTGGTCAAGTGAGTATGAGAGTGTTGTCACAGGCAGACAGGCAAGGGGACCTAGGTGTAGCTGATGAAGAAGGTGGGTACTCATGACTCTAGGTGGCCCAGGAATGGAGGCTGTGGCCTCAACTGGAAAATATTGGGGGGAAATTGGATCCAGCCCATGGAATGATCACTACCAACCATCTGTGGACCAATGGAACTCGGTCTGGTTTTAGCTGTATTCCTGAAGGGTTCCCACCAAAAGGCACTTGAATTACTGCCTGGGGGCAGTTTTGCTAAGACATGATAGTCAAAGGACTGGTCCAACTTATATAGTCCAATATATTCCAAAATCCACATTTTTATCAAGAACCAAAATAATAAAATAGCAACAGAAATAATAACTATCCCCCTCAGATCCCCTCCTCCAATGCCTCATCCTGACATAGAGATCCATCTGGATTTTTAAAGGCTCAGCTGGCAGATAACTAGCTCTAGTACCCCCTACCAGTTATCCCCCACAGTTCTCACTGCAGATGAGGCAGTAGAACACATGGCACCGTGGATACATGCTAGACTCAGCATATGAATGAAATGGGTGCAAAGTCTGCCTCTGACATTTACTCAGTATTGGACCCTGGGCACATTATTCCTCTCTCAGCCTCAGTTCTCTCA